CCCCAAAACCCCAAAACCCCAAAACCCCTTCCTTGTCCACTTCAATTGACCCAGTCATCACCTTTACATTCTACCTATTAATCTTGGGCAAGCCTATTAATTCTCTAATTTTATGGTCTTGCTTATCCTTAGCTTTCTTCTTCTTGTAGTCCTGGTAACTCTTCTCGAAGCTTCTATAGGAGTGAGGACTGGGGGTTACGTGTCTGTAGAAGGACTTGCGTGGGACTTCTTGGGGGCTTGGCTTCTTTTAATGGTACACTAAAGGTTTTGGGGAAATATACCTGTGCTTTTTCGAGCATTTTGAGTCTGTTGACTAAGTGGGCTTTCTTTGGTTTGAATTTGGGCTTGAATCCGGATATTTTACTCCTGTATTTCTCTTTGTCATCGAGGTTTATATGACTAGAGTTTATGAGTGAAGTACTCGTTCATTTTATTCAAAGCGTTTTGGTTGTTGGCATATTCTTTTACCTGATCCCTTAACAAAATTACACAAAATCCTACATGATCTCCCCAAGCTTCGAATTCTCTGCATTACTTGTCTATAAATTCATGAAGTGTGCCTACTTCTGATGCCCTTCCATCATTATGATGTTTAAGCGTAGAATTCAGGCTCTTTAGAGAAGTGTTCGTAAGAGAATCTAGGATCTTAGAATTTGAGAGTTTAGAGACAACTCGAGAAGTATCTAGGGTTATGAGGGAGGTGGATTACTTACTTTTATTTGTTGATATAGAGTTGAATGTTGCAGAATCTTTACGTTTAGGAGTCATTATACTCATAATACTCTTGATAGACTCCCTTCTCATAGTTGATTTTGACCTATTGCTGCTTCTGCCTTCAAGGGTTAGGGTGGGCTTTCCATTCTTGCTTTCTAGAACTTTACTTTGTAGTCTTTTGCTGAGAGTTGGTTTTTCCTTTGTATGATCTTTGAACAGTTCCACAGAAGATAACTTGAATCCATCGAAGTTAAGATCTTTACTTCCATTGGAATATTTCAAGAATGCTATAATAGTAATTATTCAGCTTACATTTATTTTTGCCAGAAAACTTCTGCAGGAATCTTGAAATCTTTGCAGAATTTCATGAATTCTCCGAGGTTCATAGAATGAGTCTTATTGTTAACATCTTCAAATGTAGAAGAAGGGCCTCCTTGTACATGTTGTTTACAATAAAAGCTAAATATCTCTTTCATGGCTTTGGCTCTCTCTCCTGTCAAGAAGGTATTAATCTCTTCTCGCATCTGGTCAATGGATCTCTCCTGTTTTTCAATTTTGGTTTTCTTAATTTTTTCTTTTTCTTGGGAAGCTAGAGATCAACAAGTAGAAATGCCTTTAAGGTCAGGGATTTTGTTTAACACTTTGGGCTTGAGTTTGATCTTATTTGGTTGAACACTTCTATGTCTCTTTTTATCGTCAATTTCCTGCTTTTTGGCCAAGATTTGATCCTTGTTGTTTCTCAGAGCTTGCTTGATAGCTGAAGTTTTATGAACATCTTCTTTGGCTTTATGGAGATTCTTTAATTTTGATTTGATTTCTTCAGGCTTCTCCTTTGTCTAAAAATTAAGCTGAAACATACTTTATCTTCTACAGTGTCAATAGAGCTCCTCTGAATGCTGATTATTGATTTCTTTCTAGCTACTTTAGAGGCATTTTTGGGTGCATCTGAGAGTTAGAAGAGGCCTTACTTGGGTCAATTGGTTGGTTCAAAATCTATATATTATCAGAATTGAGGGTAGAAGTTAACAATAGAGGAGATTACCAAAATATGCACATTAATTAAGGAATTTTTTATAATTAGATGTGAGAGATTAGTATTAAGCAAACAGTTTCCTAAATTGAGTTACTAGAAAATTTCAATGATACAAAATGAATCATTTTTATGATGAGAAGCATCAGAAAAATACCTTTGACTTTGCCAAAATCGAACTGCCAGAATTTAGATCAGGTTTGTCTTCCTTCTTTATATTGGTTTTATTTAATAACTTTAACATCATCCTAGACTCTATCCCTTAATCCCTACCTTAGTCTTCTTCCCTAAATTTTCAGCACTCTGTTTCTTCTTATCTTTCTCTTTCCGTTCTTGGCTATGAGATTGTTTCTCTTTCTCAAAGAAGTCATTGGCTTCCTTATTGCACTTCTCTTTTTCAAACTTTTCAGCAAGATTCTTTTTCTCATATTCCATTAATCCAGCCTTTGTCTCTTCCTGGTCTGCTTTTCCTTCCTTATTGGCCAAGGTTATATTTGAGTTTTTAGGAGAATCTGTTGGTAGCTCAAAGACAGACTTCTTCTCATTAGGTGATGCAACCTTCTTCTCTTCTGCTTTAATATCTTCCTTAATGGTAAGATTCTCAGTAAGCTCTTGTTTTTGAGGCGTATCTACTGGGCTCCTATTTCTCAATGGAGTCTTGAGGGATGGCTTTATGATACTAAAATTATCCTTTATACTTTCATTCTTCGAGTCAATAGAGATGTCATTACTTGCATTATTCTTATCGTCTTGCTCTGTGGATTCACGCTCAGACTCTTTTATAGTTCCATCTTCTTTTTTCTCTTCAGGAATACCCTCCTTTGGCTTCAGTTTAGATTTAAGCATGAAGTTAGGTTTACTAATCTGAGAGATCCTTTTGACTTTGATTTCATCATTTTCTTTGTTCTCTTCTTCTAGAATATTAGTGACTGTGACTTACTCTGTTCCTCTTTCTTCTTGGATTCAACGTAGGCTTTAAGGTCTCTTTTAGGCTTGGTCTCTTTTATTTCTTTATCCTCTCTGGGAGGTACTTTTGGTTCTGGCTCAGGCTTCCTTTGGGGGTTTAATGGCTGCGCCTCTTTTGAGCGAAGCTTCTTTAAAGATTGGTTTTTCTTTAAACCTATATTCATTAAAATTAATGAATCTTTTACACTAAAATTCTAGAGTTTTGGCAAATTTTTAATTTTCTTACTTTTCTTTTGTTTATTTTTATCTTTTTTATCCTCATTTTCTTCATTCTTTTCTTGCTTCTTCTTTTCTTGCAAAAATTGTTTCTGCATGATCTGCTTCAATCGATCGTTGATATCTTCTTTTGGTATTAAATAGTAAGGGATCTTTGGATTCAAGAAAAACCTGGCTAAGATAACCCTTCAGCCATCATAGTCTACTTCGAGTTCTTCTTCATCCTCCTCAGCTTCTGGTTCGGGCTCATCTGATTTCTTTTCTTTGGTCTTGTTGTTATCTCCACCGCTTGATTGTACCATTTCTTCAGCAAAATCAATAAGGTCTTGCTCAAATGTCATAGGTTCCTTCTGAGTGATTATTTTATATGTTTTGAACTCTATTGCTTCTTCAATGTCATTGTTGCTATGATTTTGAATGTATATTAGTCTTAAGTCGTTGAACATTATAGCTTCAAAAAATACTAGAGGTAGCTCTACAGGAAGTATACCGTCCGTCTTCTCTTCTCCAGTATTCATGATTAAATCTTTGATATTAACCCGTGACTGGACCCATAATTTGAGGAACAAATTTTTGGATAATATCTTAAGAGCAGTTGACCAAGAATCTTCTTTATAAGTTGATACTTCGCTGAGACCATTCATTTTTATTAGTAAATATTTCAATTAATATTCTGAGTTGGGGTTTTGGGGTTTTGGGGTTTTGGGG